TTTTAATTTAAAACTTGTCTATTTTTGACCCACCTATTTTTAAAAGTCATGTTTTTTCAATCATAACACTACTTATCATGTATCAACTAGTTAGCTTTGATATTTGTAAAATAAGGTGATCAGATAACATCAAGAATACTCATTTATTGGTGTTATATCCGTTGTGAAAAATTATACTCGAACTTCCACACAATGTAGTGAATAGAAAACCTATTGTCACTGAACATATATTTCATGTTTGGTTCTTTTTTTTGGTTGCCCAAAGGTATCCCTCCAGCTGATAGCCGGAAGACTAATCCCCCGTCCCTACTGTCAACACACTAAGTGGTAGGGGATTGGCCAAATGGTTTGCTCCATTCACATGAGTGGGGATCGAACTCCCAACCTATCAATCTATTTTAGTTTATTTAACCACTATATTAGTTGTTTGACTTAATTTTTTGATAAAGTTGTTTGTCTTAGTTAAACAATCAATATAGGTATTTGATTAATTAACTTTTTGTAACAGCTTATTGTTTCAAAATGCTAAAATTCAAAAAATTAAAGTGTTCAAAGCAATTTTTTTATCAGTTTTTTGAGAGAATAATTTTGCATGTAATCAGTTATCAGCTAACAGCTAATTTACCAAACACTTTTCTACAATAAGATCAGCTAATGTTATCAACTAGTCAAATTTACTAACCTAATCAGCTAACATTTATTTACCAAACACTCCCATAATATTTATTCCTGTTTTTCAGTTTTCATTAAATGGAGCTCACGAGTCTGGAATGACATATGTGCATTACGCATATATTTGCCGTTGGTTTTTGTATTGTTCTCTTATCCAGAAAGTGTAGTGATGTCATTCTGTGGGCAGTTTGAATATGTTGGAGCTTTAAATTAGAAAGCAAGGTAAGGTGGGGATGGGAGACAAAGAAGGAATGAGAATTTAATAATGATAAGAAGAAATGGAATGGAATGCCCTACTGATTATGGAAGGAACATGGAGGCTGGAGCTAGCACATATGAATGTTCAGTGCATTAATGCTTGAAGACACCCGGCCATCCATTTCATTTGGCAGGCAGCTACTTAGGATTACACGACTATTTCACCTAAAGTGTACATTCAAATAGTAGTATCGTCAGACTCTCTCATCACACAATTGTATTCCAAATCTCGGGGTGTGATTGAGTGAAATGGACTCATCCATCTTTATATGTCAAGGATCGATCTTTTGCTTTGGGTATGAAGCAGCCTTAAATCTCCCAGCCAAATGTATCTACAATTCAGTAAACGGATAAGATTTCTTATTTTGAAAAGATACATATTATTGTTAGGGTGCATTCAAATGTTGTAATGACTATTTGTTCATATCAATGTTTAAATGTTATACTATTATGGTGTAAAAAAATTCAATAAATGTATTCAAAAAGTCAAAATGTATATTGTACCTCAGTGTATTTTTCTATATATTCATGGTACTAAAATGTATCTCGTAGATCTTTTTTATTTTGTATTGTTTAGAATTTATAAGGAGTTATTATGTAATATATGTTGAACATTTAACTAAAATGACATTAGAATGTATTAGTTTCATAACAATTAGTAAAAATATCGAGATTTACTGAGTTATTAACAATTGATAAAATATTATGATGAGGTGATGTATCAATCATTTTTTTTTTTGACTAATTGGTGGCTATAGTTGTTCAAAGGATATATGGCTATTTTCATTAGCTTTGAACATTTGGAGCAACAAATTAAAGAAAGAAACATTTGACATTGCAAAAAGAAAAAGCCTTTTAACAATGGTGAAGAGTGATAGGCGACAGCTCACAGGAGTTGAGAAAGTTGGGAGGGGAAGAAAAGGGACGATGAAAAAGATGGTTGTTGCTTAAGCAAATAAAAGCAGTCTGTCCACTCTTCCACTCCAACAACAATGCATTTATTCTTTTAGCCTTTTTGACATCTCATTTTTTTTAAAGGCTTATTGCATATAAAATTTTCACTTTTTTTTTTTAAAAAAAAAAGTTTCTTCTAAGGTGTTCATCAACATAGGACATATATATCAAGTTGTATATGATACAATCATACAAGTATATCTTGATGATTAAGTAATGTAAATGGTCAATATTGTTGGTGCCAAAATACTCATGGGATCAAAAGTGTAACAAAATTTAAGGAGAAAATGTGGTGATAAAAGTAAAAAATCATTATACTTATGCTATAAATGAGAAATAAATTTTTTGTTGAAAAATTGACGAAGATTTCACAAGGACCATTTGCGTTAATAAATTGATACTCGTTGACCAATTCTGCAAGTTTTGAAACTTGTGAATCAACCTTGTTAGTGTCACAATATTCGTGGGACCTAAAGTGCGAAAAAAACTCAAATTGATATTGATTTTAAGCGGGTTTTTTTTTTTAACTAATCATAATTTTGTTGAAAATTTATATAGTAATGGAGATTAATGGTTCAAATGGAATACCATGAAAGCTTAAATAATATTTGGAGTTGTGGAGTTATAAATATTATTTTAGTTTGGTAGAAAGTTAATATGAAGAATGAGATTGCTGGAAGACTTTGTCTATTCCCCAACATTGGGGGATTATTTCCCAATATAGGGGAATTGTGTATTTCATTTGGAAAATGATTATACAGCACGTAAGCTTCCAATTTCCCAAACTTACATGCAAAAGTGTGCTAGAAAATTTATATATATATATATATATATTTGCACAGTTATTTACATGCGGTTCACAATCTTACAAAGGTTCATAATTACATATATATTCATGTTGAACATGGTTTATGTAATTAATATTCTCTTATGATAAATATATCATTTAAGATATATTTTATGGAAGATAAGTTTTTAAAACTGCAGAAAACTTCCATGTAACTTCTCCAACAGTCATATTTTTATTTATAAATAGTTTGGAGAAATATCGGAAAAGATACATGCAATAAACTTGCATTAATCTTGACATTTCACAGTTCTACAATTATACAAGAAATTATTAAACAAAGCAACTTAAGAATTTCATTCATCTTCTTGTATCCCATAAGATTAAATCTTGAACCTTGCTGCATTTATAGAGGGAGATTTAAAGCTTATAGGAAAGTGATTACACGCCTGAAGATATCAAATGATCCAGTTTTTGTTTCCTGTTGTTTTATGTATTTTGTTGTATTTCAAATGTATTACAGATTACAATTATTTTTTCCAACAAATTTGAGAGTATATAACTGAAGTCCATATTTTTGGTCTAAGTTGTGAAGATTATTATATACAAATTTGGTTATTAAAGATTATGTTTATTAATAGTTTCATTTTGTCATGTTAGACCATCGGGTAACCATGTAACTTGTGTTGCTGTTAAAATTGCGTACTTTTGAGTAACTCTATTAATTTTTTCTTTTCCCTCCAATAGTTGTGTAGGCAAATCATATATTTTGAATGAGAGAGAGTTAAAGGGAGAAAGAAAAATTCAATCATCTCGTAATAGTTGATTTCCACAGTTTTTTCAGAACAAAAAATAAAACGAAAAAGAAAAATTATACGGTTAACTCGCACTCTCAAGCTCAGCGCATAATCCCATATAAAGGTAACATTTTTTTTCATCTCCCTCTCTTATTGTTGTTGAGTGTTGACCACCAAAAACCCTTTCAAAAAATCCAACTAATATCCTTGCTCTTAGTATAGTCTAGGGCCTGGGGGTTTGGAGAGTCGTCACTCTTCCTAATACTTGCCATCTTTTTTTATTCACAATTAATGAGATCTATCATTTGATTTTCAAAAAAAAAAAAAAAAAAAAAAGGAAAGTAGTAAAATTTATTGAGATATCTATAATTGTATTTGAACTCTATTTGAAATTTGAAATATCAATATAATTAAAGCAATTAAAACGATGACAAGAACAATTTATTATGTTGAATCTTTATTTTCTCTTTTTTTTGAGTAGTTAAGTTTACTTTCTATGACACTGACATTTTTTTTTAAATATTCATTCAATGTTCGATCATTTAATTACTATTTTAAGAGTGATAAAACTCTCTATTTTTGAAATATGAATACAATAGTGTAAATTTTATCACCGCACACGAATGTAATTATGCTATTTTTTAAACGTTTTTTCAATATGAATACGATAGCATAAATTTTGTCACCGCACACGAATGTAATTATGACATTTTTTTAAAACATTCATTCAATGCTCATTTAATTACTATTTTAGAAGTGATAGAACTTTCTATTTTTGAAGTATGAATACGGTAGCGTAAATTTTGTCACCGCACACGAACATAATTATGACATTTTTTAAAACATTCATTCAATGCTCATTTAATTACTATTTTAAGAGTACGTGATAAAAACTCTCTATTTTTGAAATATGAATACGGTACTAACGGTAGTGTAAATTTTGTCACCGCACACAAACGTAATTAGTATGTAACTCATTATGTAACTCTCTAAATCTTATTTGATACAGAACACTTTATTTGTCTCGTTTTACATGTCATTAACGTAATTAATATGTAACTCATTTTGTCACCGCACACGGACGTAATTAATATGCAACTCTCTAAATCTTATTTGATACAAAATACTTTATTTCTCTCGTTTTACATGTCATTTATATATATTTTTTAGTATTATTGACTCTGTTACAATGCAATACCTGTTCATAACTACTTTCTTAACCTACTGAAATATAAAGAGTCAATACTGTCTTCACTGATACTCAAATCTACTGAAGCTTAAACTCATGACTCCGTGCCATTAGACAACGTCATTGGCATATAAACTTTATATAATCATAATAAATTTATCATTCTGAAAGATTAAATTTAGAAGAGTTTCATTAAAACCTGTTAACTAAACTAGATACATACGGAGTAAAATATAACAAGAATGAATACTTAATTAATCACTTCATCTTAACTTGAATTTTGTTGTTGTACATGAGTAATTACTTGTACCATTTTAAAAAGAAAACCCGTACTGCACTGTTTTATCTTCTGCATTTTCATTAATAAAGGACCAAAGTGATGGCGATGGGGGTAGGGAGTTTGAAAGAGGAATATGGAGAGACAAAAGAAAGAAGGAAACAGAAGTGAGAGTAGAGTGAGGTGAAGTCAAATCACTATGCACAAACTTAAAACCCCCCATCAAATCAGCCAAAAGAAAACGCAGCAGCAAATCCGGTAAAAGCCATACCAAAAAAGCTCGCCGCCTGTAAAGAAAACCCACAGCTACCCCTCTCCAAATCTCATTAGTCCCTTTCCTTCTTCTCCTTCTTCCCGCTTCGCCGCCATTGCTGAGCTCCCCACCGTTTTTTTTTTGCATTTTATTGAATGTGGGTGTTCAATGTTACCCATCAGGTTTGTCTATCTGTGTGTACTGGTTTTTGTGTGTATGCTTATCAATACACATCGAACAGGTTGTCCACTTGTCCCAGTAGGCCAGGCGGTTTACTTGTTTTCATTATTTTTAGAATCTTCTGGTCGTGAAATTGCAATCATTGATTTTTTTTTTCTTCTTGAATTTAACACATTTGCGGAAATCCTTGTCTGTCGCTCGTATTTTCTGAAAGTTTTTCGGACGAAGCTTAAAAGTTGGCGTTTTTATGCAGACCCAGAAGAGGAAAAAGCGAAGAAGTTTGGCGTCTTCATGGACTGAGCTGCTGCGGTGCATGGACTGTTGATCTTTGCGATTATACTTTGATTTCGTGGCGATTCTAGCTCAATCCCAGATCTATTGTATCTATCCTCACAATCAGTGATTCAGAAGCCGTATGAATTGCTTGTTTAAGAGCGAGCTTTCTGTGAAGATCGGAGCGGGAGTATTTTTGAGTTAGGGTTTGGGATGGAGGGGCGGATGAAAAAGTACCGTCCTTTGAGCCCGGAGAGAGCCAAAGTTTGGACGGAGAAATCTCCAAAATATCGGCAGAAACAGCAGCCCCGGAAGGAGCAGGAAAGTAGTAATAATAACAGAGTTGCTGTGGTGTATTATCTTTGTAGAAATCGGCAGCTTGAGCATCCCCATTTCATTGAAGTCCCTCTTTCTTCCCCAGATGGCCTCTACTTGAGAGGTATGTATACTTTCTTTGTGGCCTCTAATTCTTTCTAGTTTTGAAATTCTGAAAAATTTGTGTTTTTCTCTGAAGATGTAATTGAGAGGCTTAATGTTTTGAGGGGCAGAGGCATGGCTTCAATGTACTCTTGGTCTTGCAAGAGGTAAGTAAAGTAGTCCCAAGTGTTTGTTTTCTTGTTGTTTGTGTGAATTTCAGCTTTTGATTTCCTAGTTTTACATTGATTTTGGGTATTGAACTTATTTGATTGTTTGGATTCATAGGAGCTATAAGAATGGGTTTGTTTGGCATGATCTTTCTGAAGATGATCTCATTCTTCCTGCTCATGGTAATGAATATGTTCTCAAGGGTTCAGAACTCTTGGAAGAATCTAATTTAGGTATGCTGTTATATTTTGCACTTTCGATTATGGAAACATCGTCGAGTTGTTGCTACTAATAAATTCAATGCAAGAACCCTTGATTTGCTTAATCTTTCTAGTAAAGTAAGTGATTGAGTGTCTTGAATTCTGGAATGATAAATTGGTAATGTGAGCTTTCATTTTCCTTTCAGGGAGCTTCAGCCCTGGAAGAAACGTTAGATTTCAAAACCCAAAACTGCTACCCGAACCGCCATCTGCTACAAGCCAAGATGATTCTTCGTCATCTTCCAGCATGAATGGCGGGAGAGGAACAAAGCCTTCTCAGGACGATGAACTTTCTCCCCCGGTTGAACGTCCCAATTCATCTGCTGTGTCCCCCGAGTCTGGGAAAAATTTCTCGTGGAATGGTTCGTTAAGCTTGGCAGAGTACAAGGTGTACAAGAATGATGTCTCTGCTGATGCTTCCACGCAGACAGAAGAAAATCCGAGCAGAAACAATAGTGTTCGGGAGACCTGCACCCGAGGCGTTTCAACGGACGATGGATCTCCCGAGCCTGAAAGTAACGGGGGAAACGACAGCCAGCACGTTTTACAGATAAAAGAATCGTCCGAGATTTGCAAAGAGGCGGCAGTTTCACCGCCTCCGTCTACATCTAGTGTATCATCGGGTGGCAGAACCGATACCTTGGAGTCTCTCATTAGATCCGATATCAGTAAGCTCAACAGCTTTAGAATCCTCGAAGAGGAGGAATTCCGAGTGCCCACAACAAAACTCAAGCCTTCGAATATGTTAATGCAATTAATCTCCTGTGGTTCCATTTCGGTGAAGGATCACAGTTTTGGCCTTATCCCAATGTACAAGCCGAGATTTTCGCATTCCAAATTCCCATCCCCACTATTCTCAACCTCATTAACCTTGGGAGAACTCGATTGCCTGACCGAAAATCCTAGACTAATGGGTCTGAGGTTAGAAGATAAGGAGTATTTCAGCGGGAGTTTGATCGAGACAAATGTGCCCAAAGGAGTAGCTGTTCTTAAACGGTCATCATCATTTAATGCTGACAGGTTAGTAAGATATCATCATTTAGCGTTTAAAGTAATCAATCTTGTAATCCATACACTTTTTTTGTGCATGGAAATCATATAATTTGGTTTGCAGGACTAATAAGCAGATTGATCCAGTCGAAGACAAAGAGGATGTAAGCTCGACAGGCTCAAAGTGCATCCCCCGAGCAATCAAGGTGTCATTGAGTAAGCATCCAAGAAGTGAATCAATGAGATCTCCAATTTCCGAGGGTCCAAGAATCTCATCCGAAGGATCATCAGAGAACCCACAAGCCATCACATTTGACACGTCAACAGGAGGAAGCAGGAGAATCACGGAGCCTACCTCGGGAAAGAAACAGTCAAAGAGAGCCGAATCTTTCAGGGAGGAGGGGAACGTGATCAAAATTGAAGAAAGTTAAGTTTCAACGCTGTGTGATTCAAAATACTAGGCACAAACAACGTAAACAATGCACATTCCCTTATTCATGTCGGTTGAGAACCTGAGATTGTTTTTCATTTCTTACCCACAGGCTTGCTTCAGGAGCTCGGGTTATAATACAGTCAAAAGGATCTCCCGACAAGGAGGATATCCCAGCGTGAACTTTGAACAATTTTGAAGGCCGCACCAGTTTTCTTGCGGGGAATCAGTAAACTACACTCATTTGCAACTGAATCAACATTTCTTCATTGTAAATCTATGTAAAAGATGAAAACTTGAAGCAGATTGAGTATCTGATGATACTTGGATGGTAAAATCCTTAGGTTTTGGACTTCACTTCTTTAATAGTATATGCACCACAATTAATGGTTCCAGACTCTCCCTCCCTGCTAGATTTAGGTAGCCAAAATGGTTGTTGAATTGGTACTTTATTTACTGGAAATTATATTGTGATGATTCACACGATACTTCAGAGCACTGTTCTTTAACTTTGGGGTATTTCTTCAACAATTCTCCCCAGTGAGGGTCATCAATATAATAATGCATGGGTTCACTGAGTTATTGGCTTTTTTGGGGTTAAATAATTACTCCCAACAAGATCTTGATTCTCTTGGCCTGTCCAAATGATTTAAAAAATTACCCAATTCTTTAATATGCACAGAAATACCAAAGTTTTGTTTGTTTTTTAGGCAAAATAATATACTAATCTTCCAAGGTTGGCAGACATGTCGGGCGCTTGGAATTTGAAAGCAAATATATAAAATGAAGACACAACACACAACACGACATTCACCAAGGAAAAGCTGCATTGGATGCCTCTTTTTTCTTAAAATACTTTTGGTTTCTTGTTTACGATAGACTAATCTTAAACTCTTAGAAACTTATCAGGAATCGTCCAATTAGTCCTTCAATTTTCACCCCAAGGACTCTTCATCACCTCTAATCAATTTTTTAAGTTTTGAACCTCTCGATGATCTCATGTCTTCAGTGAGAATCGAACTCCCGTGAATGTTTTGACTTGCTGGAGACAGCTTTGACCAGAAGTGATAGTTGTAAAGTCAAATTGAACTTTAGAGCCCCCATTGTACTGAGGCCAAGAAACAAAATATATACAGAAATCAAGACTGAATTGAAAATGTGGGCGACCCCTCTGCACCACTAGTCCACTATCCACACACTATTTGCCTGAGCCATGACAGCTTCTGAATTTCCAGTATTCTTCAGCTGTCCCCAGAGCGCCAGAATCACACTGAGTTGACCTCCAAAAAAAAAAAGTGTACAAAATAGCCAGAACTGATGAGTTCTCCCGCCACTCTCTTGTTACAATCAAGAAGTAAAATACTCTCAAGAGGGTGAAAAAAGTGAAAATTTTGATGATGTCTAGTTTAGTGTTCATCTGACACTAATAATCAAAATAAAGTATATTACAACAAAAAAGCATTATATTGCGTGATTATATGCAACTAAATGTTTACCTTATAAAGATAGACTGAAATCGGATTATAATGTAAATTTAAATCTAACAAATTAACTAATATAATTCATGACATTTTTTAGTATGGACTCCCTTCACGCTCCCCTGGACAACTAAATTTAAAGGGTTAATCATTTAGAGCAACCCTAATGGATTAGTTTGTTTGAGGGTTCACATTAAATAAAATGTAAAAAGAGTTTAAAAAAATATCATAATTGGAATGGTTCCTAGCTAGCGGTCACTCGAATCATTTAAGGGACTAAAGAAGAATATGCACTTGCTAGGTTTTATACATGACCCAATTTGAGCATTTAAAAAAATAATAATAAAAAACATGAGTTATTGCGGACTCATGCCTTTTCTATTATTTGTCACTTTACTTTCTTTTTATTTCACAACAATAAAAAAAAACCTCAATGGGAGTTGAACTTGTCAAAATCTTTCCCAACATTGCAACTGGTTGATCATTTGCAATTAGGACAACCACAGTCCACACTTGTTTTTTTTTTTTTTTTTTTCCAAATTTTCCAGAACTAAAAGACTAGTATTTTTTTAACTGATGTAGATGCTAGTTTTTTTCAAAAGTTTACTCTTGCAGAAGAATATTTTTTTTTTTAAAACAACCAGAAGTGCACACTTCAGCCTGCGTCAGAGTGGCCGCCAACTGCAGCCACTCTAACTAGAAGACCTTTGTTTTTTGTTTTTTTTTTTTTTTTTTTTTTTTTTTAGAATTGTCAAATTCTGCTTTTTATTTTTTACTCCATCTTCTCACTCCTATGTGGCACCTAACAAATTACAAATTTTTTTTGACTATTATGGATGCTTTTGGTTGATCATTTGCAATTGAAATCTGTCCTATGACTAAAACAGGAAAAGAAGACAACCTAATTATGAATTTATGATCCATTAAATTAAAGTTGGAGATGTAGATGGAGAAGGGATCGGAGGAATGAAGCGACAAGGGATTTAATTGTAATCCGATTGGGGCGTCCTGGGAGAGTGAAAGATTAATAATGTTTGATTTGAGTTGAAATTAAAGTTGAGACAAACACATGGGTGGGTATAAAGTTGCCTCTCACGTGGATAACAACAAACACTGTATTCTTCAAAACAAAGTGCATGCAGTAAAGAAGCTGGGAAGTCTCTGTCTGTTGTTGAGTGCCTGAGACCTGAGTGGTTAGGACTTAGGAGTTGGAGTTGAACATACTACAATCACGACAGTCTTTTACTGTATTATTTATATCATGAACCAGGATTCACATAAAATTATGGATCATAAATTAAAACAACAAGGTACAGAATTCATATTCATAAAGTACAAAATTTTATAACACAAGATACATACACATATTATATATTTACTTAATTTTAAAATCTGAGTTAGGTACATAATTTGTGTTCATAGGCAGTGGCAGACCCAGAAAATCATCTGAGTGGGGACGAATATTAAATGACGTTAGAAATATCAATCACAAAATATCAAACAACCATACCATAATAAGGTTAAAATACAAAATACATTATAAATTACAATATATTTATGATAAAATATGAAACATAATCAATTGGATAAAATAATTTGAATAACAATATATTCATAAATACTTTTAAATTTTAATTTCTTTTTGTTAGATCGATTTTTCTAAATTAATTCCAATACAATAAAGTATATTATAAACTTGTATACTACATTAATTAAATGATTTATAAAAACTAGACTAAAAGAGCATTTAATTTGTTAATTAAATGATTTATAAAAAGTAGACTAAAAATATTTAATTTATCTTGTGAAGAAATGAAAGAGAGAAGATAATTAAAAGTATTGTTAATGAGATTTGAATCCATGTTCATAGGTACAAAATTTCACAACACAAGACACAAAAATTTATAACATAAAACACAATTACTAATTTATTTCAAATACAAAATTCACTCATAAGATACAAATCATAAAACAAGATACAAAAAATCATAACACAAAACAGAAACACATAAACCAGGGTTCATAGTGTAGTGTAACCCTAGTCCATGATATAAGGATTGATTTGGCGCGTCTGTTTTATTATTATTATTATTATTATTATTATTATTATTATTATTTTTGGGTTTTGTTGAAATCATAATTTGGTAGCAACTCCACTTTTGTTTCTTTGTAATTACTAATTAACCCCTTTGTTGGGCCGCACCGCACTTGTTTAGCTTTGTCTATGTACTAAAGTTTCAAAGTGTATGCTTTCAAAAAAAAAAAGTTTCAAAGTGTATCTTTAAAAAAAAAAAGTTTCGAAGTGTATGAAAATGGGTTGGGCTTCCAAGAGAATGCCGACCCGGATTGCCTAACCAAAATAATTGGAAACTCCATTTTAAAAGATTGAAAGACCAAATGGGCAATTTATATCGTGTACCACGACGCATATAGTAATGTGCATTCAGGTATAAAAAGCACGCAATTGTTGACGTTATTCCGTCCGTTCAAACGGTCAAAACTCCATTATATGTATTGTGTTATGAGTTTCTGTGTATTGTGTTATGAGTTTTCATGTATTCAGTTAAGAGTTTCTGTGTATTATGTATCATGTAAGATTATGTTTATTCAGTTAGGAGTTTCTGTGTATTCTGTTATGAGTTTGTGTATTCGAAATAGAGAATTTTTTTTTAGACAATGCACTAAAACGACATCGTTTTGGGAGGTACGGAACGCACATTGCTATGTGCGCCCCGGTGCACGGTATAACGATTGGACCAAATGTGACTCTAATAATGTTTGAGATAGGGTTCGAACCCCACCTTGCCATCTCCACTTATGATTAAGTGATCAATCAAGCTCGACGCAAATTACTAATCATCTTACTATTATATCCTAGCAACCGAAAGATGTGATCTTTTACAGATGATATTAAACCAACAGGTGTGGAATGCGTTAGGCAGAATGAAGAACTGATAAGGAAACCCTCCACGGCTCCGCTCCCCTCTGCATTTACCAACACTCTTCATTTCTTCTTCATATTGCATTGTAAGTCGTACCTGCATTTAAACGGGAGATTATTGTTAGTTTCCATTTTGATTCTTCGCTTTAGTTTGCTGAAGACTGATGCGCAGCAAAAAATTACTTTAATCTGTTACATACCTTCAATCGCCATTGATTTCTGCAATACATATATATATCTGTGAGATATGCTTGCTATTACATACGATGCATATATACATCCAACTACCTGTTGCTCAAAGTTGAATTCTTATGAATTGGAGCAATAGTATTTAGAGAACTCCTCTCGAAATCGATTAAATTTTAGTTTAGTTTGAATCTAATATGAATTTCGAGTAGGAGAGGTTAAGATAAAAATATATGCACGTCCTATTGGCTAGTCAAGTCATGAAATGAGGTAGGAGCATTATCTTTCTAGTAACCTGTAGGCTGTAGGCTGTTGGATTTCAATCCATTTTGATCAGCTCAAACAGTTAACCTATTAATCCAACCAAAACATGGCTGGGCGGCTTTGAGTGGAGGACTTGGATGCATTGTCATTTAACTTTTCTGCTCCACGAATGAGACCAATGATATATATATATATATGTTATCAGTCTTCTTGGTCTGTGTTGAAAATTTCAAAGTAATATAATTATGCAGAAAACTGTGCTAAGTAATACACTGTGTCTGTGTGTATATATACACATATAGACTGAACTTCATTTTATTAATAACCATCGAAATATTATGAGCATGGAACCTATGAACATGCTTACTACAGTTGTCCACTTGATTTCCCTTGCAACTTTTCTGTGTCTAGTAGGACCAGAATTCAATCTCACACAGAGAGTTGGTGCGGAAAAAACTATGAGGTGTTTGGAGAGGGAGAGAAAAGCTCTTATTGAATTCAAGAAAGGGCTTCTGGATGACGATGGCGTTCTGTCATCTTGGGGTAGTGAGGATCATAAAAGAGACTGCTGCAAATGGTGGGGTGTTCGTTGCAGCAATAAGACCGGCCATGTAACAGCCATTGATCTTCGCTGTCCCGTAGATGATGATTTCTCGCCACTTCAAACTCCTTTGGGTGGAAAGGTTAGTCCATCTTTACTTGAGTTGCGGCATTTGAGTTATCTCGATCTCAGTTACAATGATTTCCAGGGGCAAAGCATCCCAGCCTTCATTGGTTCCCTCAACAGTTTGAAAGTGTTAAATCTAGCATTTGCCAACTTTGCTGGTAATGTTCCAACTCATCTTGGAAATCTTACCAGTCTCCATATTCTAAATGTTTCGTGGAATTTTCATTTATCAATCAACAGTCTTGAGTGGCTCTCTCAACTTTCTTCTTTAAGATACCTTGATCTTAGTGTAGTCCCCTTTGAACAAACCCTGTGGCCGGAAACAATTGTTAACCTTCCTCATTCCCTTGAGAAATTGCGGCTGAGTAGTTGTGGACTGTTTGAAACTATTCCCTTCACCATCAACTCTTCTGCATCTCTTTCAGTTGTCGATTTCTCTCACAACAATCTTACTCTTTCTTCAGTATCCAACTGGTTGCATAACTTCAGCACAGGTTTGACTAGCATTGGCCTATCATATAACAATTTAGCAGGCCCCATCCCTGAAACATTTGGGTACATGGAATTTCTTCAGCACCTAGACCTTTCTGGAAATTTTTTCTCAGGTAGCATTCCTAAATCTTTTAGGAATTTAAGCCATCTAATCTCCCTTTCATTATCTGATAACCAATTAAGCGAACCCCTTTCTGAACTACTTGAAAAGTTATCAGAACATGCAGGTCAATCACTAGAATCCTTGTGGTTAGATGGTAATAAACTCAATGGTTCACTCCCAGACATTAGTACCAGATTTTCATCCTTGAGAGAATTGGTTGTATCAAATAACCAATTGGATGGATCTTTGCCACAAAGCTTTGGACTACCTTCAAGTCTTGAATCTTTAGGTTTAAGGGGTAACAGAATAATGGGGTTATTTCCAGACATCAAAAGTTTTGGACTTGAATCCCATCTTAAGTTCCTGGATTTGTCTGATAATCAAATTACTGGGCCATTGCCAGATTTAACACCATATTCATCAATGATAGAGCTGTATCTCCAAGACAATCAATTGCAAGGGGTGATAACTGAAGCTCATTTTTCAAACCTTAGCCAAATAAAAGTCTTGGATTTATCCTTTAACTCATTGTCTTTGAACATCAGTGATGATTGGAACCCTCCTTTCCAACTTGAGGCTATAGGTTTAGCAAGCTGTAAAATGGGGACTCAGTTTCCAAAATGGCTGCAAACTCAGGGTGGATTTTTCTCTCTTGATATCTCTTCCGCTGGTATTTCTGATACAGTGCCTGATTGGTTTTGGGACCTCTCTCCCAGAATTGAATACCTGAACTTGTCTTACAACAAGATTGATGGCAAAGTTCCTGATTTATCAACCAAATTTTCTGGTTCTCAAGTAATAGATTTTAGCAACAATGGCTTTTGGGGTCTCATACCTTCAATTCCTCCAGAAGTCAAATCATTTCATCTCTCACATAATAAGTTTTCTGGATCAATTTCTTTCCTGTGCACAGATGCCACTCATTTCACCGCTTCTCTTGACCTCTCATATAACCAACTCTCAGGAGAGATTCCCAACTGCTTTGAGAACTATGCAGATTTGGTCGTACTAAATCTTGCAAATAATTATTTCTCTGGGAAACTTCCTCACTCTTTAGGCTTCCTGCAACGACTTGTGTCGTTACATTTGAGAAACAACAACTTTACAGGAAAGTTTCCACGCTCATTGCAAAACTGCACATCATTGAGAATGATCGATTTTGGAGGAAATCAATTTACAGGGAGAATCCCACCATGGATATGGACATCTCTAAGTAAGTTGATCATTGTAAGTCTTAGACATAACAAGTTCAGTGGAGACCTGCCTCCAAGTTTGTGTCACCTTAACAATATTCAAGTCTTGGATTTTTCTCGAAACAGAATGGCAGGGAGAATTCCATCTTGCTTCTACAATTTTACTTCTTTGATTCAGAAAAACAATTCCACAGGAAAGACTATTGTAGGTGTTGGAGAATATTTTGGAGCAGTTTATAATAATGTTGACTACATAGACAACATTTTGATTCAGTGGAAAAACCAAGATTCAGAATATAGGAACCTATTGAGATTTCTAAAGAGCATTGACCTTTCAAGCAATCACTTGATAGGAGATATTCCTGAGGAATTTTCTGTCTTGAGAGGATTAATTTCCTTAAACCTGTCAAGAAATCATTTGACAGGAAAAATCATCCCAGGAATCAATCAGATGGAAATGTTAGAATCTCTTGATTTGTCTAGGAACCAACTCTCAGGTGAAATTCCAGCAGGCCTGGCTCATTTGAATTTTCTTAGTGTTCTTGACTTGTCGAACAACAACTTGTCAGGAAAAATTCCATCTGGCACTCAACTTCAGAGTATCAACGCAACATCTTATGCCGGAAACAGTGGACTATGTGGGGATCCACTTCCCAAATGTCATGAAGATGTTCCTGCCATCAAAGAAAAAGGCGATGATTATGAAGAAGAAGAAGATGATGATAGGCTTTTGACGCTAGAGTTTTACATATCCATGGTGCTGGGTTTTTCAGTAAGCTTCTGGGGCTTTGTGGTCACTTTGTTCCTCAAAGATTCATGGAGATATGCCTACTATAGGTTCTTAAGTGACTCCAAAGATTGGGTGTATGTAACAATGAAAGTTTCATTTGTAAGACTGCAGAGGAAGTTTTGGCCACACTAGATGGGATGGTAAGTGTAGTTATATGCTCTTATCTTTACAAGATATAAATTACTCCGATCCCTTTATGTATAATGTTATTTGGCATTCCATTTTGTATCACACCTATATGTAAAGCGTTTATTAACAACCTTGACATGACAGATGGATTCTGCAGAAATCGGGCATGAACACTGTACTACCAGCAGAAGTGCAGCATTGCATTAGAAATTTGAAGAAACAATGCAGTCAGTTTGAAGATTTAATTTGTGTGTTTTGTTCACCGGTCATTTAGAAAAGAAAGTCTATACTCCAACACCATTTTCTTTTCACATACAGTTCCTTTTGTTTGATGTTAATGTCCCTTTAATATTATTGCTACGTGTGATGCATGGTGTTCCTTTTCACATTGCCAACAACAGTTGATGGTATGACAGATAATAAATTCCAATAGCCTTTTTGGTTTTTCCAATAGCCTTTTATCCTACTCATCTCTCACAAATTCTTGTAGTTTTTGCTTTGAAATTCTTATCACTAGTTAATTATTTGCTATTTCATCTAGACCAAATTTATATAAGAGGGGGTTAAGGTTAATTAATGGAATAGTGAAATGGGAACCAAATAATATAAGATGTACCATTTGCTTAATAAAGTGTACAAAGGATAATTTTCCCCTTACACAATTAATTAGAGTTAATTTTAGTTTTGGTTCTAGTCTAAATTTATAAGTGACAATCCACTTTTAGTCATTTTTTTTAAAAATCAAAACACCCTCATTTGGTTCTAGTATTATTGTGGCATGATCATTTTTTGTCATCCGTTAACAAAATGGTTGAAATGCCGTTAAATACAAAGATATTTTGTTTTTTTTTTATTTTAAAAAAATTATACAAAATAGGTTGACCAGCTATATTTTTATGCGTTTTAAAAAAAAATATTTATAATTGAAGATCAAAATGTCATTGTATTTAACGAAATTTAAATTGTTTTGTTGATAAAGGACCAAAAATGGTCATGCCATAGTAATACTGGGACCAAAAATGAATTTTCTGAAAAAAAAAAAATTACAAGTGGACTGCCACCTATAAATCTAGGACCAAAAATGAAATTAACTCTAATTAATTATGTTTTATCATTTGTTATTACTTTATTGAATAGTAAAAAGGGTCCAGGATGATGGAATGGGCGGATTGAATTCTTTGTGGGCACATAAAGATTAGGATATGATCGATAGGCTGATTGTGCAACTCGCGATTTACCTCTACAATAACTCTAACATGACATTTGGTTGGGATGAGGGAATTAAAGAGGAAATGAATTGTAATTTGGTTGAAAAAAAAAGGTGAGAATAAAGTATTAAATCAAATTACATTGTTTGGTAAGGAGGAATAAAATTATCGAAAATGAGAATGGAAGAAATGATATACAGACTAAAATGTCTTTGTGTAATAATAATAATAATAATAATAATAATAATAATAATAATAATAATAATAATAGAGGACGGATTTATAAATTTCTTCATTTTTCCTTTGCAATCCCCTGTCCCGCTACTGAATTGGAATTCATTGGGGGGAGTATATGAATTGTATTCCGTAATTCAATAATTGAGGGAATTGCAATTCCCTAAAATCAAATAATGTAATTTCGTAGGTTAAATAATTGCATTGGAATTGAATCGTAATTACTCTCTACCAAACACCCCCTAAAGGTGAGCTCTTGTAGGTTTAGGATTACTTAAGGTTGCCTGCACGAGTTTAGCTCACTGGTTTAGTTTGCAGTATGTGGAAATAGAGGTGTTCAATCGGTTAACCGAAATTTTTAAACCTTTAACCATTAACCGAACCAAAGTTTGTGTTACTGAATTAACCGAACCGATTTTTTTTCGGTTAACCGATTAACCGAACTTTTTTAAATTAAAATTTAAAATTCAAAAAAATAACACCTAAAATAATACATACCATAATAAATTCATAACAAAATATACAAAAATAATACCGTAACGACACTATAAACATATTACATTTAAATATTTAATACATTATATATATATATATATATATATATATATATATATATATATATATATATATATATATATATATATATATATATATATGTTAAAAAGTTCTGTTAACCGACACTTTTTAACCTCAATTAACCGTTAGCCGAACTTTGAAAAAATCTTTAACCATTAACCGAACCAAAAAAGTTCGGTTCAAAAACGGTTAACCGAACTTTGTCGGTTTGGTCGATTAACCGAAACTTATCCGAAGTTTGCACACCCTATTTGGAAGAAGAGATCAAGGGTTGGATCTCGGCAGAGGTAGTGTGGGGCTTATGCTCAAAGTGGGCAAAGTGGGCAAATCCCTTGTGCTCACCAGCATTAAGCCTTGCCTGCTGAGCCATTGAGTCCGAGGATCTTTTGGGAGAATGATTACTTAGGGTGCGTTTGGTTCACGGGTTTACATACTAAGAATGAGAACAAAATCATAGTTATTGTTTGTCTGACAACTTTTTAAACACAATTATGGGATTTGATTACCCCTTCAATTAATAACCACATTTCCTAATTAAAAAGGGATATCATTTCATATTATATTGGTAATTTGATTTTTAGGTTTGAATTAGTGCTTTTGAGAATAAGAAATTAATTAATTAAATCAGAAAGAAGACATTCAACAAGATAATGAAGAGGATCATCAAACCACTCCCCGCAATTTGACACAGAAACGGCTTTCCTAGCAACAATGTGGGCGGCACGATTCGCAGATCACTTAACAAAATAGAAGTCTACCCCTTGTGTAGCGGAAGCAACTTCTTTAACATCATCAATAATAAAGCCAAAAGCCAAAAGCAAACCAAACACCTTATGCTCAGATGGCATGTAGTGACTCTTCCATATGGGAGGTTATTAGACCGAGCCAGTCTCATGGTTGTCAATTGTTATGCCATGGAACCGTGTTCACCATGGATGGTGAACACGGTTCCATACGACACCGTTTTACATAAGTGGGAGTAACGGTGCCCGTAAGTGGCACCGTTAACTCCCACCAATCACATTTAAAAAAAAAAAAAATTAAACGCGCCATATAGCGTTTCACTTTCCTACTACACCGGTTTCACTTCCTCTCCAAGCAACCTCCATCCCTCTGCTCTCTACTCTCGAACTCTCTGCTCTCTACTCTCGAATTCTCTGCTCTCACTTCGTCTTCCCAAGCGCCATTTGCTGCGATCATTGTCGAACTCTCTGTTCCACAGCCATTCCCTCTACTCTCGTGTTCCATTTCCCCGTCCTCGCATTTCTCGAACAAAACTTCGCGTCCTCCCGTAGTTATCAAAGGAGACAGCCTTTCCATCGCTCATTCTCAACGTTGCTTCACTTGTCTTACAGGTATTTTGTACCTGATGTGTTTATAATTTAGGGTTTTTGTATTCTGTGTACAGATTTTGAAATTTAAAAAAGGGGTTTTGAATGTAATGTTATGAACTTATGAATGTATATCTGTAACATTATGTATGTGTATATTAACCATTATGAATTGATTCGTATATTGTTTTTACTGCTATTTATTCACTATCTATGCAAGCTTTGAATGTCCATAATGTCACAACTGTTATTGATACTTTGTTCTCTTATGAATTTTCTGTTAAACACTTATGTATTTTATGCCATGCAAATATGTATTCTCTGTGTGAGATGAATTTTCTCATATGAGATTATGAATTTTCTATTGTGACTATATGAAATTACGATTTTGATGTTATGAACTTTGTGATGTGAGATTATGTATTTTCTGTGTGAGATTATGAATTTTCTCATATGAGATTATGAGTTTTCTATTGTGAGTTATGAATTTTCTATTCAGTAGTTATGAAGTTTCTGTTCTGCATTTATGAATTTTCTGTGTGAGATTATGAGTTTTCTATTGTGAGTTATGAATTTTCAGTTCTGTAGTTATGAAGTTTCTGTTCTGCATTTATGAATTTTCTGTGTGAGATTATGAGTTTTCTCATATGAGATTATGAGTTTTCTATTGTGAGTTATGAATTTTCTGTTCTGTAGTTATGAATTTTCTGTTATGCATTTATGAATTTTCTTTGTGATATTATGAATTTTCTCATATGAGATTATGAGTTTTCTATTTTGAGTTATGAATTTTCTGTTCTGTAGTTATGAATTTTCTGTTCTGCATTTATGAATTTTCTTTATGATATTATGAATTTTCTGTGTGACTGTTATTGATGGACAATATATTCTTTTCGGTAGAGCATGACTGGATTTATTCGGCACTCCCTTCCCCCCTCTACTGAAATAAAGAATATATTTCCATCAAACTCATGTCAGTTTTGTGCTATATTATATGTTGTATATGAATTACTTGCTTTCTAACGTTTTTAATAAAAGCAATGGACATTGCTCAACGCAAGAGAACACGCTCTCAAACAAAGGCAATCTTAAGCTCTCAAGCTGCACAGCCATCACAGCACTCTCAAGCCACAGATGAACAAAACAGGGTAGTCAAAACTAAGACAAAAACCAAAAGACAACGAACAACAAAGGATGTACTAGACTCACAAGCTGCTGAACCATCCCAGCAGCAGCTTGACGACCAGCTCCAATATGAAGTAATTAGAGAGAAAAGATCAAAACAATAAATGATAGACATAGGGGCAAAGCAGATGAAGGTGAACATGCAGAAGGGAGTTCTACTCACTACTTCAGCACACGGATGGGGCCGAAGACCATGTTCAGGCTTGTACAACAACTAACGCCAGAACAAAAACAATCAGTCCGTGATATCGGTTTTGGAGCCCTACTGGACCTTCAACTGTGTGCAAATGAGTCACAATTAGTACAGTATTTGCTGAACAACTTTGAGCTTTACCAAACACATTTCAAACTGGAGAATGACAAGCTCACTGTTGAAGAAGAGGACATTGAGTACACTCTTGACATTCCAAGAGGAGAAAGGGTTGTTGTTGAGGCCCCAAAATATGATGAACAGGGGACACCAGAGTACAGGGCTCTCTTGCAAAGCTGGAGGCAAATGTGGAATATTAACCTTGGTTCCCCAATCACAACCAAGATGGGGGATGTGATAGTTAATAGGGGAGATTATGGTGATGAGTTTAAGAGGGACTTCATGGTCTTAACTATTTCATGCATGATGCGGGGATTTCAGACACGCTACTGCAACAACAGAATCCTCAACTCCTTGATTAATGTTGATGAGATAAAGGAGTACAACTGGTGTAGCTACACCTACAACTCTCTGATCAAATCCATTGAGAAGTACAAGAAGAAAAGTAGAAGCTTTTTTACTGGACCAATGACATTCATATTGGTAAATTCTAGTTCCACTTATGAATCTTATGATATTTAGATTGTGAATTATGTGTCAGATTATGAATTTTCCTTTATCAGTTTATGAATTTTCCTTTATCTGATTATGAATT